GAGCTTTCGCAATGATACTTTCCAGATCAATGGTTTGTTTTACACAGGATTTGAAACCTACAATGTTTGGCATAATGTTTTGTAACTTGCACTTAAATATATAATAACGACCTATAAGTAGGACATAGTTAAGCATTGGATTAGCATGCTCATCAATATCTCCCAGAATACATTTTAGAGCATTTAATGTTAAAATGAGTTCTGTGAACGAGGATAACCATTTTCTAACTGAATTCCAAAAAATATATATAAATCTACAATCCCAAAATAAGTGATAGTAATCTTCATTAACCTCTTCACAAAAAGAGCATAGTGGAGAATCTTTGAGATTCCATGCATACAGAAGTTGATTAGAAGGCAAAAATTTCATAGTAAGCTTGTACTGGAAATTTCTAAGCTTTGTATTGGTTGTGATTTTATACGGAAGTGTACATACAGCTCCCCATGGTATTATAACATCCAGGATATCATGCCAGTAGTGCTGGATATGTCTTGGAATTTCATCGCTTAAAAAAGGTTTCAGCAGCACAGCATACAACTCTTTATTTGTAACACGCCACACGCTTGTAAGAGGAACAGTTGCATTTAATAGAAAAAAGAAAAAACACAACAATGGTAAAATACAAGTCTTAATCAAATACAGAAGCACAGAACACGATATAATAAAAATAACACAATATAATAAAATAACTATTTATATAAAATCTAACTACAAAATGGGAAGGGGCTCCTTCAGTCACACTACAGAGGTCAAGGCCATGACCCACCCGCAAGGTAGGTCGAGGTCTTGACCTTGATGGGTCAAGGAGATCCTGCTGCGAAGCCAAGATAGATGGGAGGTGACCAAGAGATGGCCGCCGAGCCCTGAAATGGAGGTAGGATGGAGTCCAAGAGCCCAAACCGAGGGAGGCATAAAGTGGTGACTGAAGGGACCCCCATGAAGAAGGTAAGAGGAAAGGCTCGGCCCAGAGGACATAGTGATATGTCGGCCTGGGGGAGCGGGAACTGGAGGACAGGTGTCTGTCGGTCCAGGTGGAAAAGCGAGAAAGGAGAACAGTGCCCGACCCAGAGGACATAATGTCGGCCTGGGGGGGTGGTAGCTGGAGGACAGGCATCTGTCGGCCCAGGTGAGAAAGTAGGTGCTGATCGGCCCAGAGGATGCAACTGGTACATCGGCCTGGGGGAGCAGACATGCAGAAAAACAAGAATAACAAAGCATAGGCAAAATGAATTGTGCACAATAAAAAAGGAAATCGAAATGCAAAACCTAAATGCACGCAGCAAAATGCCAGGTTTGACGCTGGTGATTGGTATCGTTTGAAAAATCAGACAGAAGCAAGTGTCTTAAAAGCTGACTGGAGCAACTGTTCCGGTGTTCTGATGTATGTGCGGTAGCAGTTGCTCGACCATCTGCCCATTGTTTGAATAAGGTGGTCTGGAAGATGCACACTCGCTGCAGTAGTGGCCGCTCCAATGCGAAAAGAGTGTCCTGCGAAGAGGTGAGCTTTGAAGCCAAGTCTAGTGAGAAGAAACCGAAGCGAGTTGGTGAAGTGGGCACGGTCGAGTGGTACTCTTTCAGGAAGCATGAATAGTGGTTTGTGTGGTGCTGCCCCCATCTTGTGGCGAACTAAAAGGAAGCGATGTAGGGAAGAAACTGGACAAAAGGCAGAGCCAGTAGGATAGAGTCTAAGTTCAAATCCACGTCGGAACTGGTCAGTTTTTGATGATTTAATGGTCACAACCAGGGCATCGACTGAGCGTGAGTTACCTAGCGTCTTAATGTCCTTAACGCAGAGACCGACTTGTGGGTTGAAAGACTGTGATAACGAGGTAAATTCGCTACATTGTAGGAATCCGAAAAATGCCAACAGAAAAGCAGCTTCCAACAATAGGTCAAAGTAGGGCCCATATACGCCTGAACGGAGTAGCAAACACAGGCGTTTTAACAGGTCAAAGGTGATTGGCAGCCTTGGGCGTGTAGCAGAGCCTTGCAAACGGCGAATACCTCGCAATACGTATTGGAGGCGAAGTAGATTCAAACCTTGGCTAGTAACGAGCGGATTTGAGTGACTGCCAAGTAGATAATGATTGCGAATTCCTGCAAGGTAAACCTTGATGGTGCTGAATTTTAGATGCAAATATGTGGCACAATGTGTGACGAAGTAAACCAAAATGTTTTCGGAGATAACCGGGTAAGTGGTTGACTGACCTGTGATCTTGAACATGGCTGCAAACTGCAAAACGCAACCATGTGCGTACACCTGTGGCATAGGAACCAACTGTCCGTATTCCAAGTGATGCCCTTTGACATGTGTCCACTGCCTGGTTCAAGCGAACATCACGACTGAGGGAATCTGGCAAGGTATGGCTTGCGCTGATGGTGCTGCTTCTCTGAAACGTGTAGTCTGAAAACGAGAGAGAGCATCTGCAATTATATTAGATTTACCAGGTATATGAACAGCAGAAAACATGAAGCTATGGGATGCCGCAGTAATCACCAAACGTCGCATTAGTTTCATAATGGATGGCGATTTAGAGCGGCCTTTATTGACGATGTGAACAGTAGCCATGTTGTCGCAGTGGAACAGTATACGCTTCCTAGTCCATTGATGACCCCAAAGCAAAGCGGCTACAACGATGGGATATAGTTCCTGGAATGCGATAGACAGAGTCTTGTCATGATCGAGTCTAAGGTTTGTAGCCCATCTTTCGTGGAACCAGTATCCCCGGAAATACCCACCATGGCCGATACCACTGGCATCTGTAAATAACTGCATATCTGGGGCAGGAGTGAGGTATCTGTCAAGGAATAGTGAAATGCCATTCCACCCAGATAGAAATTCCTTCCACATGCAAATGTCCTGTTTACTTTCAGATGAAATGCCAACGTGGTGGTGGAGTTTTTGAATGCCTTTCGAAAGTTCGATAAGTCGTGACATGAAAGTACGACCCGGAGGGACTACACGGCACGCGAAATTGAGGTGTCCAAGCAGACTCAATAGCTGGCGCTTGGTGCAGGATCTGCGTAGGAGAAATTCGTCAAGCAAATCAAGAAGACGATTGAGCTTAACCAGTGGCAGACGGGCCTCCATCTTGATGGTATCAAGTTCAATACCAAGAAACTCCAAAGTAGTAGTAGGACCTACAGTCTTATGTGGGGCTAATGGGATTCCTAAGCGGCCAAAAATGAGCGTTAACAATGCCATTGTTCTTTCAGCGTCATAGCATGGTGCGTCGATTGTAAGGAAATCATCTAGTAGGTGCAGCATTTTGTTGATACCGTAGTTATGATGAGCGATCCAGCAAATGGCAGTTGAGAGTTGATCAAAAATTTTAGGACTGGAGCGAGACCCAAAAGCAAGGCGGATGAAAAAATAAAAATTGTCCTGCCAGTTGATGCCGTATAAATGCCAAAGTGACGGATGGATGGGCAGAAGCTTAAACGCATCAACGATGTCTGTTTTGCAAAGTAAGGCACCGTGGCCAGCTTGTTGGATGGCTGTGATGGCGTCGTCCACTCTTACATATGACAGAGAGTATTCATCCTTATCGATTAAATCGTTAATACTTGTTGACACTGAGTTACCGCGAGGGGCAGACAAGTCAATGATTAAACGTTTTTTATCTGAATACTTTTTATCAACAACGCCGATAGGACTGCAACGGTAGACAGGGAAAGGAGACGATGGAAAAGGACCAATAAGGTAGCCCTGCTTGACTTCCGCTGCTATGTGCTTTGAAACAATGTCTGGTTGGCAGAGAGAAGGTTGCGACAGATAAGAGGACACGTGGGGAGCACCTGTACCCCTGTATGAAAACCTTCCTTAACACCTGAAAGCAGATAGTCCACAAAGACAGTGTCAGATGTGAAGAAAGTTCCCTTGCTCAAATTGTCAATATTGATTGGCGTGTTGCAGCAAA